CCAGGCGAAGAAGTAGTGGCGAGGAGAGTGGCTCGGTAGCCGGTCTAGAGACAGGTCTGTCTCCTGACCCAGACGCAGCCGAGGGGGCTAGTAGTGAGGCGGAGACCCTACTTGATGATAAGGAGGTTGATCGCACTTGGCAGCCTCGTCGTCATCAGGCAATTTCTTCCGCATCATCAGGAGAAGAGGGTGGCAGCTTGGCAGCGAGCGAAACAGTCGGTGGGTTGCCCAGGAGACAGCAGCAGGGTCGCAGCAGTGTCAGTGGGGCCAAACGGCCACGGAGTAGAGCACCAGCTCCACTGCAGCCTACCACCACGGCCAGTAGTGGTGCCGGTGTGCACGGAGGAAGCAGCAGTCAGCCAGTGAGGAGTATCGGGGGCAAAGTTTCCTACTTGGCGTGTGTGGCAATTTTTTCGTCAAGCCGCCCGAGGAAGTAAACGTAGCCGTATGTCGACTATGTGGCCAAAAGTCAAGCGTGGCCAGGGGGCCCATGTTGGGACTACAGCGTTGCAGGCAGCATATGCAGCGTCGCCATTTGGTGGCCTGGGAAAAACCGTGATAAAGATACGGCGGTTCTGCCCGCCCCAGCCTCGCTCCATCACCCGCTCCGTTACTTGCTCCGTCACCCGACGTCAATCGCCCTCCATCAGCCAGTCAAGGCTCCAAACACCTCTGCTGAGGGGAGTTGTCGCTCGTTGGCATCTTCCGCTCGTTCAGATGCTCCTTCTCCTGCTACTCCTCTTCACGGATTCCGTCAGCAGTATTTCTTGGAATCCGTTTCAAGAGACAACAGTTTGCGAGCACGCACCCGACGGTGCAAAAGCTGAACGTCCTCCTGTCCAAGTTGCTGGTGCTGCAGTCCCTCCCTTTCCAAGTGGTTGGACTCAGCACCTTTCCCGAGAAATGATGGCTTGTGCCGCGCCGCGGTGGAGAGTGCCAAGCCGTCATTTCTTCGCCAAAAAGGCAGTGCCAGCCCTGCATTCTACATGTAGAAGAGATGGTGGGCCAGTCTTTGAGCATGTCGGTCTCTTGCCAAAGTGCACGGCAGCTTCGACGTGTAAACTACGGTCAGGGACAGTACATGTCATTTACGGCCCACTGGGTGAACGTGGTGCCGTCACAGCCGCACCAGCAACTTGGACAGGTCACGGCCGCTTTTGCCTCCTCGTTTGCACGTCCTTGGTCCACAAAAGATGTCCGCCTCTACCACCTCTTCTTCCTTCGTGTCCTCAGCCGCCACCCCCGTGCCAAGTCCCATTACCCGACCGGCAGATCACATGTGCAGGGCGCAACGGTGTCACGCTGTGCTGCACCTGGTATGCCTTGGCGAACGTAGTCACACAGGGGAGGAACTTCTCAGTGTAATGAACAGAGAAATCGACAGATGGCTGTCTCCGCGCAAACTCAAAAATCGGAACCATGTTGACCGACAACGGAAAGAACATGGTGTCTGCTCTGCGTCAAGGAAGGTTGTGCCATGCGCCATGCATGGCTCACGTGTTCAATCTGGTTGTCAAGCGGTTCCTAAAATCCACCATCCCCACTGCAAGACATCCTTAAAATGTCACACGTAAACTTTGCATGCATTTCAGCCATTCCTACACCGCAAAGCACACCCTCCCCCTTGAGCTGCAGCGGCAGAATGGAATTCCACAGCATCGCCTGATCTGCGACGTTGCAACAAGGTGGAATTCAACCCTACACATGTTTAGACCGCCTTTACGAACAGCGAAAGGCCATCACCGATTTCCTGATGTTACAAGCGGATAAAGGTACTCCCCTGTGTAACTTTGATGTCAGCCATTGGCAGCTCATGCGTGACACCCTGCCGCTTGCTCAGGGCCCTTTGAGGAGGCCCACGCTATTCGTGAGTCGGCAGGACTATGGGGATGAACGACGTCATTCCTCTGTTGCACGTCCTGGAACAAATGCTGTTAACAATGGCTGGTCAGGGTGCGGTAGACGTGGCGCACAGATCTCAACGCCACATGACCCCTGTGGGGGCAGGACAGGAAGAAGAGGAGGAGGTAGAGGAGGACATTTGTGCTCAGGGAATTATTGAGTGAAATGGGTGGTTTTTTCACTCAGCGGACAGGAGTGGAGGAGCAGGAGCATCTGGTAGAGGAGGAGGAGGAGGAGACAGAGGACCCAGACGCACCGTGGCAGTATGCTGTGGAGATGGAGGCAGGGAGTCCCTCGCATTCCTTGGCACAAATGGCCCATAGCATGCTCTGTTGCTTGCGTAGCGACAGCCGAATAATAACCATCAGACAGAGGGATGACTTTTGGCTGTCCACCTTGTTGGACCCTCGCTACCGTTCAAAAATGGTGGCCTTTTTCACACCTGCTGAGAGGGAGGCCAAAATAACGTACTATAAAAACCACCTATGTAGTCAGTTGGTCTCTGCCTTTGTGCGCCAACGTCCATCCTCAGACACTGTGGGCCCTGTGCGCTCGCGTTCCGCTGCCATGGCAGCAGGGGAGTGTGGTGGGGTGGTAGGAGCAGTGGCAGCTCCACCAGCAGCGGCTGCCTCAGTCTGCAGTCGATGATGAGTAGCTTTCTTCACCAGCGCAGTGAGGAAACTACTAACCAGCCGCAGCAGCAGCAGCATCAGGTGGACCTGGAGCAGACCTAAAACAGGGCTTGGGCCTACTTGGACAGCACCCTGCCAACCGAGGTAGACAATCTCCTTCACTACTGGGCAACGAAACTTGACCTTTGGCCCCAACTAGCTGAATTTGCCCTTGAAAGGCTGTCATGCCCGGCCCAGTAGCGTGGCATCGGAGCGCGTGTTTAGTGCGCCAGGAGGTATTGTAACTCCGCGGAGGACACGACTGTCCACCCAAAGTGTGGTGGAGAGACTCACGTTTGTGAAAATGAATCAGGGCGTGGATTAGTCTGGATTTCAAACCACCAGTTCCTGACACAACTGACTAAATCCGCCATGAATCATGCCTCAAACATGTGCCACTTTCAGGTCTCCTCACACACTGCTGGTGTGTTCCATTTTTTGTCATAGGGTGCTGGGCAGATTACAGGCCTCCCATAGCTGCTGCCAGGCCCCTAATCTGCCATGGGCCCCCTATACCCGCCTCCTCATGCTGCTGCCAGGTCCACAGTCTCTTATGCCATGTGCCACTTTCAGGTCTCCTCACACTGCTGGTTGTGTTCAATTTTTTGACATAGGGTGCTGGCAGATTACGGGCCTCCCATAGCTGCTGCCAGGCCCCTAATCTGCCATGGGCCCCTATATACCGCCTCCTCATGCTGCTGCCAGGTCCAGAGTCTCTCATGGGGTCCCTGTACGGCCTCCCATTGCTGCTGTCTCCATCGCCACAGTCCCTGCCATGTGCCACTTTCAGGTCTCCTCACACACTGCTGGTGTGTTTGAATTTTTTGACATAGGGTGCTGGCAGATTAACGGGCCTCCTATAGCTGCTGCCAGGCCCCTAATCTGCCATAGGCCCCTATATACCGCCCTCCTCATGCTGCTGCCAGGTCCAGAGTCTCTCATGGGTCCCTGTACGGCCTCCAATTGCTGCTGTCTCCATCGCCACACTCTGCCATGTGCCACTTTCAGGTCTCCTCACACACTGCTGGTGTGTGTTGAATTTTTTGACATAGGGTGCTGGCAGATTACGGGCCTCCTATAGCTGCTGCCAGGCCCCTAATCTGCCATAGGCCCCTATATACCTCGCCTCCTCATGCTGCTGCCAAGTCCAGAGTCTGTCATGGGTCCCTGTACGGCCTCCATTGCTGCTGTCTCCATCGCCACTCTCTGCCATGTGCCACTTTCAGGTCTCCTCACACACTGCTGGTGTGTTCAATTTTTTGACATAGGGTGCTGGCAGATTACGGGCCTCCCATAGCTGCTGCCAGGCCCCTAATCTGCCATAGGCCCCTATATACCGCCTCCTCATGCTGCTGCCAAGTCCAGAGTCTGTCATGGGTCCCTGTACGGCCTCCCATTGCTGCTGTCTCCATCGCCACACTCTGCCATGTGCCACTTTCAGGTCTCCTCACACACTGCTGGTATGTTGAATTTTTTGACATAGGGTGCTGGCAGATTACGGGCCTCCTATAGCTGCTGCCAGGCCCCTAATCTGCCATAGGCCCCTATATACCGCCTCCTCATGCTGCTGCCAAGTCCAGAGTCTGTCATGGGTCCCTGTACGGCCTCCCATTGCTGCTGTCTCCATCGCCACACTCTGCCATGTGCCACTTTCAGGTCTCCTCACACACACTGCTGGTGTGTTGAATTTTTTTTGACATAGGGTGCTGGCAGATTACGGGCCTATTATAGCTGCTGCCAGGCCCCTAATCTGCCATAGGCCCCTATATACCGCCTCCTCATGCTGCCAAGTCCAGAGTCTGTCATGGGGTCCCTGTACGGCCTCCCATTGCTGCTGTCTCCATCGCCACACTCTGCCATGTGCCACTTTCAGGTCTCCTCACACTGCTGGTGTGTTGAATTTTTTGACATAGGGTGCTGGCAGATTACGGGCCTCCTATAGCTGCTGCCAGGCCCCTAATCTGCCATAGGCCCCTATATACCGCCTCCTCATGCTGCTTGCCAGGTCCAGAGTCTCTCATGGGTCCCTGTACGGCCTCCCATTGCTGCTGTCTCCATCGCCACACTCTGCCATGTGCCACTTTCAGGTCTCCTCACACTGCTGGTGGGTTCCATTTTTTGTCATAGGGTGCTGGCAGATTACGGGCCTCCCATAGCTGCTGCCAGGCTCCTAATCTGCCATGGGCCCCCGTACCGACTCCTCATGCTGCTGCCAGGCCCGTAATCTGTCATGGGCCCTGTTGTCGCTTGTTGGCATATTCCGCTCGTTCAGATGCTCCTTCTCCTGCTACTCCTCTTCACGGATTCCGTCAGCAGTCTTTCTTGGAATCCGTTTCCAAGAGACAACAGTTTGCGAGCACGCACCCGACGGTGCAGAAGCTGAATGTCCTCCTGTCCAAGTTGCTGCTGCCAGGCTCGTAATCTGTCATGCGCCCCTGTACCGCCTCCTCATGCTGCTGCCAGGTCCAGAGTGTGTCATGGGCCCCCGTACCGACTCCTCGTGCTGCTGCCAGGCCCGTAATCTGTCATGGGCCCCTGTACGCGCCTCCCCATGCTGCTGCCAGGTCCAGAGTGTGTCATGGGTCCCTGTACGGCCTCCCATTGCTGCTGCCAGGCCCGTAATCTGCCATGGGCCCCCGTACCGACTCCTCATGCTGCTGCCAGGCCCATAATCTGTCATGGGCCCCTGTACCGCCTCCTCATGCTGCTGCCAGGTCCAGAGTGTGTCATGGGTCCCTGTACGGCCTCCCATTGCTGCTGTCTCTATCGCCACACTCTGCCATGTGCCACTTTCAGGTCTCCTCACACTGCTGGTGGTTTCCATTTTTGTCATAGGGTGCTGTATGGCCTCCCATTGCTGCTGCCTCCACCGCCACACTGTGGCTCCACACTCTGGTTTTGGCCCCGTGACTGGCCAAATGAGTGAAGTGTGCGGTGATTCTAAGATCGACGGCACTCATCTGCATGTCATACTGACTGACAGTATTATTTCTCTTCCCCAGCAGACTCCAAGGGCATTTAAATTAAAGGTACAGTGTTCTGCACTAATATTAAGTCTCTCTGAAGCCTAGAAACACCCTTTTTTAAATTAAATTCACAGCGAATATATTCGACTCGAATCGAAATTTGGATTGGCCTGAAAGTTAGTTCATGGGTGCCCCTGTTTGTAACAAAAAAATTTCCACCCGACTTTCCACAAAAAAAAAGTCAATTGAACAGGGGCTCCCCGACAAAATTGAATTTTGTCAAGAGCTGGGTAGAAAATTGATGGCCTAACAGTAGAAAGGGGGAGGGGTTTGTTGGGGTTTTTTTTTTTTTTGCTTTTTTTCTGTTTTTTTTTTTTGTTTTTTGTTTTTCAATCAGCTGCAGCCACTGTTAAAGTATTCTGACGGCCTCTGGTGGTGGCACTAGTTCATAGCATGTTCTGAAACTGGAAAGGGCATGGAGACAGGCAAAGTTATGAACTGTCATGGAGGACCTCCAAAATCAGTAAAGTTTAGTTGAATTTATTCTCAAAATATGTCAGTAGCCAAATCCTTTTGCTCCGTTTCCTTTTGGTGAGATTTCCTATCCCAGAAACACAGCAGTAAGTGAGCCAACATCTCCCCAAAGTGAAGGGAATCATATTACAGGTTATGGTGTATGTAGACACCAGGGGCGGACTGACAACTCATGGGGCCCCCGGGCAATAGGGGATCATGGGGCCCCTGTGTCCTTGCCCACACTCAAAAAAGCCTATAAAAAGGGTACCAGGGGCATTTCATGGGGCCCCCAGGCAATTCCTGAGTGCTCGAATGGTCAGTCTGCCCCTGGTAGACACTTTAAACCTATGTCAGTTTAATCTTTCCTGTCTGTGTTCCTTTGAGGAGATTTCCCTTTGCTTTCCTTCCCAAAGACACAAGAAATTCTCTGCTCAGTCAATTGTCAATGGAACAAGCATCCCGATTGGAAGAGATCTCCTAATACCTTGGTACACATAAAATTTTGGACTTCTTTTCACTTTCTGCCTTGGTGGCAGTGGTCACCAGGTCAAATAGAGAAGGTGAATCTACTTGGGGGTGAACACTAAAAGCAACAAATCTCAATAACAAAAAGTTAGTAGCTTTACATACAATACATTTTATGGGTTAAATGATTTAAAATTTACCTTTTTTTATTTTATTTGATTGCTATAAGCTTGTTTTACATTTTATATTGAGCATCTAAAAGTAAAAGCCATTCTTCTTGAAACTTTGCTTCTTCCCCTTTGGAGCTGGTTCTCACTCCCACCCAACTCCCACTTATGTTTTATTAGGGGTATTGAACTTGGAAAGGGTTAAGGTGGGTATGGGATGCCCAAATAAACTACAACTTGAAGAAACCTCCTTAGAAGCTGTACAAGTCTCTATAAAGCAAAAAAAGGGTTTCTTCCTGGAGAGTTCCCCAGCCTTTCTTGATGTACCATCTCAGACTCCAGATGCATCCTCTCCTTTGGGTTGGTGGCTGCCTTTAGGCCTTTAGGTTTCCTGCTTTGCTGTCTCCTTCCCCACTGCACAGGTGGTCCTCTCTCAGGGGACACATGAGGTTGAGCGATCCTCTTTTTCTAGCAACTCTGCCTGGAGGTAGGCCCCTTCCCACTGGGCCCCCTTTCAGGCTCCTGCATCTCAAACTCTCTCTTCATCTTCCACCCAAACTCTCCTGCTGCTGAGCAGGCTCAGTCACCTTAAAGGCTGCCCTGGCCCCATGCCAAGCCCCCTGCTTGGGGATTGGCCAGAGTCCTCTAAGTGTGCAGACCAGCCCCTCCTTACCCTTACCCACAGCTTATATACAGACATGTGCAAAATGAAAAAAAATTTTTGTTTCAATTCATTATTTGACTAAATTAATTTAGCTCGATTAGTTAAATTAATTTAATCCATTTTTCGGAATTCGTTTTGTTCGAATTCGACCGAATTCGAAGTTTCAAAGGGACTCAACAATAATTGTAACTGATTCGATAATAATTCTAACATTACAATCCATAATCCACAATCCATATTTGTTTTTGATGGTATATGGGCTATATGAAGAATTGCGTGACCATATTGGAAATGTCTATTTCAGCAACATTTTCAGTGCCTTTGTTGATTACTACTCATGTCACCATAGCACAGCTCACAATTTTTTTGTAAAGTATTTGTCTTTTCTAATCTATTCTATTAGTTTCTATTATTTTATATTCTATTCAGATGTATTCTGTTCAAATTCTATTAAAATTTAAAAAATTAAAATAAAAAAAAAGGCAGTTCTATTTTCTTCTATTTTTTTTCTGTAGCTATCCTATTCTAATCTTTTCTATTCTTTTATTTTCTATTCTAATCTTTTCTATTTTAATTGACTATATTCTATTCCTTTATTTTCTGTTCTGTTTCTGTTTTGCTCTGTTTTACTCTAATATGTTCTATTTTATATTTTGTTTTTCTGTTCTACTCTAATTGATTTCTATTATGTTCTATTCTATTCTTTGATTTTCTATTCTAATCTTTGGTATTCTTTTCTATTCTTTGATTCTCTATTCAAATCTTTTCTATTGTATTCTAATGGATTCTTTTATTTTCTATTTTATTTTGTTCTGTTTTCTACTGTATTCTGTTCTATTCTTTTGTTTTCTTTTGTTTTCTTTTGTGTTCTTGTTTCCTCTATTCTGTTCTTTTTCCTCTATTCTGTTCTTTTTTCCTCTATTCTGTTCTTTTATATTCTATTCTTTTATTTTCTATTCTTTTTATTTGTTTTCGGTTCTTTTTTATTCTATTCTTGTTTTCAAATTTGAATAGGTTTTTGATTTGAATTTGTTTTTGAATGTGTTTTCGAATTCGTATCGATTCAAATTTCGGATGAATTTTGTTTCGTTATTTCAGATTTGTTTAAATTCATTACTATTGTAATTCGGATACATCCGAATCTCCAAATAACGGAACATTTGTTCAAATTTTGATTCAGAACAAACGAACTGCACATGTCTACTTATAGAATCTTCTCCAATTTCCTAGAGCATGGGGAGGTATTAAGGAACTGCAATGCCCTCAGCCCTGATCTATATTTGACCCACTGTCTTATGCCCAGGGTGTTACTCAGCCTTTCTGTCTAAAAATTGATAACTAGCTCCCTCTGGCTATCTAGAGGGGCACTACACATGCCACTTCATGTCTCAGATCAGCACCATGCATGCACCTTTACGTCTCAGATCAGCCCCAATGAATGCACCTTCAGACCTCGGATCAGCCCTAATGTATGCACCTGCAGACCTTGTGTGCTAGAATGGCCCAGTCAAAGTCCAGATCTAAACCCAATTAAGAATCTGTGGCAATACTGGAAAATTACTGTTCACAGATGCTCTCCATCCAATCTGACAGATCTTGAACTATTTTGCAAAGAAGAATGGGCAAAAATGTCCCTCTCTAGATGTGCAAAGCTGGTAGAGACATCCCCAAAAAGACTTGCAGCTGTAATTGCAGTGAAAGGTGGTCCTTCAAAGTATTGACTCCAGGGGGCTAAATACAACTGCACCCCACACTTTTCACATATTTATTTGTAAAGAATTTTGAAAAACGTTTCATTTTCCTTCCACTTCACAATTATGTGCCACTTTGTTTTGGTCTATCACATAAAATCCCAATAAAATACATTTACGTTTTTGGTTATAACATGACAAATTGTGGAAAATGTCAAGGTGTATGAATACTTTTTCAAGGCATTGTAGATCAGCCTTCAAGGATGCACCTTCAGTCCTCAGATCCGCACCAATGCATGCAAAAAATGCAAACGGTACCGCTGTAAGCCTGCAGATGGGCTACTTTTGCACAGTATCCATGGGCACCAAGGGGCATTCAGCGATATCAGGAATGTGGTTGGACCAGGTATTGTAATGTGGGATCTCAGTGAAAGCTGAAAATCACCCTAGTAGGCTGCTACCACAGTGTTCTCCACTAGCTTCTGAGTTCCATACAGAGCAGCTGCCCTGCAGCATTGTGAACATTGAGGGTTGCTTTCAGAATGGGCACTATTTAGGGAACACTTTGCTTTGTTTCCTTTCATTTAAAGCATTTCCTGATTGGATGAGGTGGAAGAGCAAGGTGGTGAGTGTTCAAAGAAAGGCACCCATGCAGAGGTGTATCTACAGTGAGACAAACAAGGAGAACCTCAGAAATCAGTTAAGTTTAGCTGAATTTTTTCTTAAAAATGTCACTAGCCAAATCCTATTTCTGTTTATTTTTGGTGAGATTTCCCTACACTTCCTATCCCAGAAACACAGCTGCATTTTTGGCGGCATTTTTCAGGGGGGCAGCGCCGGCCCCAGGCAGAAGGGCAAAGGCGGCTCTTTAGTTAGGCATTGCAGCCATCTAATTTACCTAATTAAAGAGCCGTCTCTGCTCCTAAACAGTCAGTCAGGATGTGAGGACATGGTAAGGAGAAGCAGCAGGCGGGAGGCCTCATGGGGACACACACACCGGACAGGGTAATGGAGGAGGCTGCTCAGTGTCTCCGGTCATGCTGCTCAGGGTGCCTCTTTATGTAGAAGCATCCACCATTTCCTGTCCTCTTCTCTCTGCCCCAGTGAGCTTTCACCAAGCCCCTCAAGCCAAGATGGTGGCCCTGAACGATTGTTATCTTTCCACCTCCTCTGTGACTACAGCCGCCTCGGCGAGGACAGCTGATTAATGGTGGCATGGGCCAATTGGAGATGGGGAGAGGAAGGACGTGGGGGCACTGTCTAATGAGCAAGATTAGAGCTGACAGAGGGTTTCTGGAAAAGGTGGGGTGGTGACGGGAGCTTGACATTGAGGATGGGGCGGGGCAGTGACAGAAGCAGAGGGGTGGCATGAGAGAAGTAATAACTGCAGAGAGAGAGACCTGCTGACCATGTCCTATGCCCCACTGTCCCCATGCTCTGCCCTAGTGACCCCTGTCCTATGCCCTGCTGACCCCATTCTCTGCCCCACTGTCCACACATGTGGAAAAATCATATCTCAGGGTCCGATGAGGAAGCCGCTGGTGTTCACTGCAGCTTCCTCATCAGAGCCTGAGACAAGAACGG